TCATTAAGATGCACTGATGCTCGCACACCATTAGAATGAAAGCTGCTAAGTAGCTGTGTAACTACTGGAGTTGTCCTCAACTAAGGATGTAGGAGCCCTCCAAGATATCCAGGTCCCAATCCCTGGTACCTGTGACTGTCACCTTATATCACAAAAAGACTGCAGGTGGGATTAAGATTTTTATGTAGGAAGAGTAGCCAATGGGGGTGTGACACAGAAGATATGGAGGCAATGCAGCCACAGAGAAACAGACTAGTGTGACATGGCAGCAAGCCAACGATGCTTGCAGCTATTGGAGCCTAGAAGAGGCAAGAAGCAAATTGTCTTCCTAAAGCCTCCAGCAGAACCAGCTCTGGTGCCACCTTAATTTTAGTTCCTATATCTCAAGTTCAGACTCAGAAGACAAATTTCCATTGCTTCAAATCACCAAGGAAGTGGTAACTTGTTATAGCTGTAATAGAAAACACATAGGCTTGGGAGCATTGTGAGGCTCTCAACTGAAATACTGACCTCACTTGGATGTTTATAAAACTGAGGGAAATTAATACTTTCTACCTCCTTGTTGAAAAAATAATAGAAGATACTGGACATCAACTTTGAGGCACCACACACATGTACAATATGTGCACACACACACAAAACATGAACACATACATTTACACAATATTTGTGTGTGTGTGTGTGTGTGTGTGTGTTGGAATGTTAGCTTAAGATGTGTTACACTTGCTTATGCTGTAAAATATTTGTTTAATGATGCAAAGATGTGTTTACTTCTTTTATGTTAAATTTGTTTAACTCTGTAAAGCTATAGCATGAATAACAAAAATCCAGAGACAGATATTGGGGTTCGACCTGAAGATCAGAAAAGCAAAGAAGCCAAGCACACTAGAGAGTTCTTACCTCTACCAAGGCTGGGGCCACCCTGTCCTCAGTGTGACTGCAGACTGAATACACTGCACTCCTGTTTCCACCCACCTTATATTCCTCTCTAGTGCCGGGATTAAAGGCATACACCACCACCACCCAGCTTCTATAGCTAACTAGTGTGGCTGCTGGGATTAAAGATATGTACCACCACTACCTGGCCTGTATGGCTGACTTGTGTGGCTAGCTTTGCATTCTGATCTTCAGGCAAAGTTAATTTGTTAGATCATAAGCAAAATATCACCAAGTAAAGTTGTTTCTTTGCCTGTCCAAAACACCTGATTGCTATAATAAAGAGCTGAATGGCCAATAGCTAGGCAGGAGAGAGAAATAGGCGTGTAGAGAGAATAAATAGGAGGAGAAAAAAGGAGGGGGAAGAGTGAAAGAAGGAGGAAAGGATGACACCAGGGGCTAGTCCCCAGCCACACAACCAGCCACAAAGTAAGAAGGAAACAAAGGTATATAGAATAGAGAAAGGTAAAAGCCCAGAGGCAAAGGGTAAAGGGGATAATTTAAGAAAAGCTGGCTAGAAACAAGCCAAGCTAAGTCTGGGCATTCATAAGTAAGAATAAGTCTCTGTGTATTTATTTGGAAGCTGGGTGGCAGTCCCCCAAAGAGAAAAACAAAAACAAAAACAAAAACAGACCAAAAACTGTGTGTGTGTGTGTGTGTGTGTGTGTGTGTGTGTGTGTGTTTTACATAGGAAAGGGAGGGAAAAGGCAGGAGCAGAGCTGTGACTATGTTCTAGTATGGATTTGGTCTTTATGTTGCTACATGACCTTAAGCAATTCATTCCTCTTTCTCACTGTAAAATTAGGAGTGATATGACCTCTAAAAGCCCTTGTAAGCTGCCCCAAGTTGTCAAGTCCATGACCTTAAGGAGTGCTTAAAGATCTAAGACCTTTTTTTCTCCCAGTTCACCTCTCCTCTCTCTTATTCCCCTAAATGTTCTGGCATCCTGCCTGGGAAGGACAAAGTTAACAGATGCTGCAAATGACCAAGGTTAAGACACCAGTTCTGTGAGAACAAATCAAAGTCACACACCTATGGTTTTTCAGAAAACTTTTCACCCAGCCTGGCTACCAGAGCTACAGAAGCCTTCAGTCCTGCCACCAGACACAGAGAGATGGACAACCTTTTGCAAATGCCTTTCTTTGACTACTGAAGCTTTGAGGTAGCCAACTCCCAGGGCCCCAGCAGCAGAAGTCAGACTTCAATGGCTAGGAATCCACTGGCCGAGAACAAAAGAAAAATTAGTTGGCAGACTAAAACCAGTTCTTATTATGCAAATTCATAATGGAAACAAAGTTGGAAAGAACATAGCCAGCTTGGGGAGAACATAAATTAGCAGGTGTGAGGGGCACAAAGGGTCCTAGTAATCATCCTCCCCTCCAGCTCTGATTGTTCCTCACTTCCTGATCATACATACAAGCCATGGAGTTGATAGGAAACCCCGGGGTCCCCATGCCCAGTTCTCACTATGCTAACACACACACACACACACACACACACACACACACACACACACTCACACAAATACACACCTACACACACATACAAACACCCACACAAACATACACACAGACACACATACAAACACAACACATACACACACAAACACACCCACAAACATACACACATACACATACACACACAGACAGACATACAAACACACACACACACACACACACTCACACAAACACACACATACAGACATGCACACATACAAACACACAGAAACACACATACATACACAAATACGCAGACACACATAAAAACACATACACACACAGACAGACATACAAACACACACACACACACACACACACACACACACACACACGTTTGTCTCTAACTTAAGAAACATTTTTCCCAACAGAAGGCAAGCTCACAACACTAAATTGAACCATATTGAAACTGCTGTTATCCTATATCAGAAATAATAGATATTGACAATTCCATATGGCACAATCCACCCTTTTCTCAATGTTGGCAAACATTTCTAAACAGTGCTGTGAATCAACACTCACAAAATACAGCAGAGGTCTCCAAGCCCCAAGGCAATGAATAGCAGTCTATGTCCCTCCAGATGGGGACAACAGCAAGTGCTCCCCAAAACTGTTGAGTGAAATATGAAACTAACACAAGATGGAGTACTGGATGTATACATAAGCATCTGAGAGACCAAACAAAACAATCAAAACAAGAAGACGGAGCAATCAAAGTTCTACCTGTAACTGCACAGTTGATCCTCCACCAGACAAAAAGGGGTAGGAGGTAGGAACACCTCAAGGTAAAAGACACTGCCACTAAAATTGGGTGTTGAGCAAAAGGGGAGAAAGAGAAAACAGAGGTAGAGCTTAGTGCACGTTATGTATGCAGCTGGAGGCAGTCTACAACAGAACAGTGGCCTTTGCAGCACCAGTGAAGGTTTAATCGCCAGTTGAACTTAGCCACACTCAGAACACAGACCCCCAAACAGCTCAGGTGTATCAATGCCTCCAGGAAGCTGTCACCTCCCCCTTTCCTCCTTTCTCACTCTCCTGACCCTTTTATTCTGTCCCCAGGGTGAAGGACTGGGGAGGAGATCAGACCTTTAGCTGTATTCGTGGTCATGCAAATCCCTAGTGCTGATAATAAAACAAACAAATCAACCAAAGCAGAAAGAGTTCACAGAGTAGGAACAACAACAGCAAAAAAAATTGAGTGAGCTGTAAGGTAACAAACACTCTCTGAAGTGGTTGGCTCAAATGAACCTCAGGAGTCATCGACACAGAAACATTATGGAGTTTGTCTGGTTTTCTTTGCTGCCAGTTCATGCCTTTGGTCACACTGTGAAATGGGAATTTAGCCACCAAGTCCACACTTCCAGATAGGATGGGCCTATGTCTCTCTCTATAGGAACAGAGAGATCTGTGAGGAGTGTAGGAACAGGGATGGGGTGACGAGGTACTGAGGAGCAGTATCGAAGACCAGAGAGGAGACCCAGCAGACAAACACTCAGGCACAGAGTAACCACTGCAGGACTTCCCGGGAGCACAGACACAAGCAGTTCTACTTAGTACTGACTCAGAACACACACACACCCAACCCCCTGCCTGCTCCCGCCAGTTGAAACCTACTCAAATTGCTGGAGAACTAGTTTTTTTCACTTAGTCTTCTAATCAGAGTCCCTCAGAGCCTGTTCCAGCTTCACGGTTATTCTAGAAACATCTGTAAATAACTATGTCTGGTTTCTGGGTCAGGAAAGGAAAGGTACACACACAGTCCAGGATGCCCCTCTAACTCAGGCACAGGAAAAAAATCAAATTCTAAGTGTACTTGCTGCTCCTCTTCTCTCCAGAGGCGCCTGTTTTGTGGTTACCTCAAACCCACTCCCCTAAGGGCCGTTCAGAGACCAGCTTTGGAATCTGCCTCCTTGGGTTCAAAGCCTAGTTGTGTACTTACCAAGACAACCTTGGCTTCTGCATCTTCAAATGAAGGCGGAAATAAACTCTAGGTGCTAGGGAGATTGCAAGAAGATAAATGAGATTATATCAGCAAAATACTCACTTAGGTCCCCTGGTTTTGGTCCTGATGTTGCTCCTGCTATCACTACGATATTGGCTATATAAACAGGCTTCAGTTACTTCACTGCTAGTTAGAAAATCTTTAATAAAACAAGATCCCAACTCCTATATTTATGCTATAAAACTGCATTTATGACATCAAAAAAGGCATTTGGGTTGAAAAAGGTTTTCCAAATGAGTAGAATTCTGATGACACACTCATGTAATAAACTTCAAGTTGAAAAGCAAACTATTTCTTCGTGTCTATCTCAGACATCACAGACATAATAAGAAGAATGAGACATTCTATACGTACTGACAGCCTATAGATAGGCTTTCAATGAGATGCATCTCCACACATAAAACATTGCACAAGAAATCCCTGTGGCTTCCCCATTCGAAAGAGCTCAGGGACCGAACTGGCAGCCAACCTGCCAGCACCAGTTAGCTTCTTGCTACATCTCCAAAATGGAGTCTGAGGCTACATTCCCCATATGTGTGATGGAACTATGCTGTTGGCTCAGGCAATAATCAGTATGTCTCCTTTTGTAGTGTGGTTTCTGTGTAAAAGCAGCCATCCCTTTATATATGGTAGTTTGAAAATACTGGCTCATCTAATGGTTGTGGGCACCCCTGCCTTAGAGACTCGGCACTCACTCCTCTACATAATGATCCACATCTATGTGTTTGTGTATTTCTCCTTTCCTCCACTCACACGTGACTCTGTGCTGCTGAGTGGGTGGGCTTACCCAGGTCCATTTAATTTTCAAGTTTTAGCCTAGAAGTACAAAGTATTGTAAAATTCAAACTGCACTGGAAATACACCTAGATAAAATATACCATACATTTATATATCTCAAACATCCACATGTTTAATCATTTTAATTATTTGACATGATTTTATTATTGATGTGTTCTTCTACCTGCCAACCATAAGTATAAGGAACAAAAAAACTAGCATATCATTGGGTGTACTCAAAATAAAGCACACATGTGTGTGTCAGGGGTGTGCACACGAGTGCATATGTATGTAAAAGTCAGAAGACAATCTGGGGTATCATTCTTCAATGCTATCTGTCTTTTTGAGACAGGGTCTTTCACTGATATGAGAGTCACCAAGCAATCAAGGCTGGCCAGCCAATGAATGCCACTCTGCAATGACATGCATGCAACACCATGCCTGACTTTTTTTTTAACTGTGGGTTCTGAAGATAGAACTCAGGTCCCCATGAAAGCACATTACTAACTGAGCTATCACCTCAGTTGCAAGCAAAAATTCTTGATATTGTGATTGGAGTCTTTCCCTTCTGTGGTGGTTTGAATGAAAATGGCCCCACGGGCCCATAGAGTGTGGCACTACTAGGAGGTGTGCCCTTGGAGTAGTTGTGGCTTTGTTGGAGGAAGTGGGCTACTGGAGTGGGCTTTTAAGGTCAAAGAAGCTTAAGTCTCGCCAGTGTAACTCAGTCTCCTTCTGCTGCCTGCAGATCAAGATAGAGAACTTTCAGCTCCATCACCATGTCGGCCTGCATGCTGCCATGCTTCTACCCATGATGATAATGGACTAAATCTCTGAACTGAAAGACATCTCCAATTAAATGTGTTCCTTTATAAGACAACCATGGTCACGGTGTCTCATCACAGTAATAGAAACCCTAAGACCTTCCAAGCCCATTATGGGATAATAGGATATTCGTACTTGACATAAAAACATACAATCAAGGCTTTCTCCATACTGAATTAGAAGTTTATTGGGCTCCCAATTCCCATGTCTGAAACATAAACATGGATTTACATGCATTGTCTCATGTTGTAGATCTCACATGCATGTCGTCTTCGGTCAGCTGGGCCTCTGCTCTATCATCAGTAATTTATAGTTAGCTCAATGTGAGTGAATGACAAATACAGAATGATGCATAAGCCGTAGCAATAAATCCTTCCCAATATCATTTACTTTTTTCCTCAAAAAACCATATTACAACTCTCTCTTGTAAAAAATAAATTTCAGAACAAGGCATTTAATTGACCTCACTGAGAAAAATAAAGGCAATTCTATCATTTCAGAATTCAGCAATGAATGTCCAACTATGGCTAAAAGGTACACCCTGAGAATTAAATGATTTATTTGAACAAACCCATTAAGGTTTATAAAGCTGTGTTAACCTAATGTCAGGAAGGGACACAAGATATCGGTGCCAATGCCCCTGCTCATTTTGTGGTACAGTTCTCCAAGGATGCAGTATTATAAACATCCTCATTGTCTTCAATGCTAGAAGCATCCGTGGAGTCAGGCTCGCTGACCACGATGCCAATGGAAGACAGACTGGTAATGAAGGCATGTACTTGCTGGGCATAAACATCCCTAATGTTAAAGTAAGGTAGCTCATGGCACTTCTCCGGTGGGTCTTCACTGCACTGGTCCACATCCATGTCCTTCTGCTTCTGGTAGTACTTGGAAAACTTATTGAAGATGATGGTGATTGGAAGGGCTACCACCAAGATGCCGCAGATAATACATGTGCTTGCAATGATCTTCCCAGCTAAGGTGACTGGATGTGTGTCTCCATAGCCCACAGTGGTCATACTGATAGTGGCCCACCACCAGCAGATGGGGATACTGGTGAGACTGGATGCAAGTTCATCTTTCTCCACAGAGTAGATAAGCACGGAGAAGATGGAAATACCCACCGAAAGGAAGAGAAGCAGTAGCCCCACTTCATGGTAACTGTGCCTCAGTGTGGCCCCCAGAGATCGAAGCCCTACAGAGTGCCGGGCTAACTTCAGAATTCGGAAAATCCTCATGAGCCGAAGGATCTGGACCACCTTGCCCATATTCTCTATGTCCTCACTCTCCTCTTCCTTGGTGTCCACAGCCAACGTGGCATAGAAGGGAATGATGGAGACAAAGTCGATGATGTTCAGAGGGTTTTTCCAGAACTTCTTTTGAGAAGGGGCAGCAACCAGCCGGATGGCCAGCTCGCCAGTGAACCATGCGATGCATGCAATCTCCACTCCTTCCAGCACAGGGTCATCCACTTCTCCATCCTCATTCTGGAATTCCGACATGCTGTGTACACACATGGCCACGATGGAGGCCAGCACCACACTCAAGGAGGATATGGCGATGAGCTTGGCCGACAGGCAATAAGCTGGGTTTTCCATTCGAATCCAGATTTTCTTTCGGAGCTGACCAAATTTCAGCTCATCAAACTTCTCCAGCTCTTTCTCAAACAGAGAGGATTCTTCAAAGGAGGAGTCCGTGCTCACATCATTGCTTTTCTGGTCCCAGTCCTTCTCATGGCTCTCCTCCTTGCGCTCCTGGTATCGGCTGCTGCAGCAGGAGTCAATGAAGAGCTCGTTGATACCCCAGTACTCGATCTCCTGGCAGAAGGAGAACACGCACAGTTCCTCCATGACGTGCAGCTTCCCTGTGTAGTAAAAGTTCAAAACGTATCTGAACAGGGAGGGGTTCCGATCAAAATAGTACTCTTTATCTGCCACACTGTAGTCATCACACAGCTCCAGAATGGCCTCTTCAGAATGGCAGGTCAGCAGCTTCCCCAGTCTTGTGTGAGGGAAGCGTAGGAGTGTACTCTGGTCCACAGACTGCTTAAAGCCCCCCACGTTCAAGTTGACAAGTTCCTCGTCTTGTCCAGGGCGATGGAAAAACTCACCAAACACCATGATGGATAGAGGAGGCAGAGTGCTGGCCGGGAAGGGAGATGCCCAAGATCACATTGCACCTGAAAGGAGCACAAGACAATATTAGCCTGTGCCCAGTCCTGCCTCATCAGGACTTATTTTTAATCTGCCCTTTCCAGAATGATGGGCTGCTCTGAAGGCAAAACAGGAAATGCATTTGCAAGAAGAAAAGCACATTTCAGGGCTGTCTGGAAGGGGTTCAAAAACTTGAACATAAAATGCTAGTTTTACTAAAGAAAACCTACAGTATCATTTAATGACCTAATTCCCATTTCTTTATTAAGTACTCACATTTCATCTTCTGGCCTCCCCAACACACACACACACACACACACACACACACACAGAGAGAGAGAGAGAGAGAGAGAGGGGGGGGGGAGGGAGAGAGAGACAGAATAAAAAGCAATGCAATTCTGATTACTTACTTGCACAATATAAACACATCTACAGTCTCAACCATGAGGCTCTCGACAAGTCAGCGGCTGTAGGGCTTGCAGCCTACATTTGTCCATCCCAAACTCATCCACCCAGAGAAAAAGTGCTCTCCTCTTTTCCACATTTGATTCATGGGAGACAGAGATGAGCTCTTACAATGACTGTGGATGCTCCAGCAATGTACTTTTAGGAGAGCCCATTATTTATGTTTGGACACTGACACTCAGGAGGATATAATTATCTCCACATAATTAAACAGCGTATATCTTACAGATATCATTACACTTCCCAGGATGGGGTTTCAGGACTATCCACATGGAAAGAAACTGGCTGGGAAAGACCTTTTCAAGTTAAACATGTTCCGTTTCCTGGCACGAATAGTCTCTTCTCCCACCCCTGCCCTCTTCTCACAGTCTCTTACACAGCATCCTCGAGAATTATCGTACTATCCAGGGTCTACATTGGTTGGGCTCATGATATGCTTTTAGTTCTAATACTAATCAGGGTATATCAGATCCATTCCTCAGAGAGAAAATAAGGAGGGCTGGGGATGTAAAGTCCTGTTTCTACTCATGTGAATATGGATTTGTGCCGCATGTGTACAAGTGCCCTTGGAAGCCAGAAAAGGCATGGATGCCCTGTAGCTGGAACATTAAACAGTTGTAAGCTGCCACAGGAGAGTGCTGTGAACTGGACCCAGGTCCTCAACAAGAGCAGCACAGCTGACCAAACAGAGTGGGAAAGGGAGCTGTCAGCAGATGGTGTCAGGTGGGCAACAGGAATGCTGTACAGGGACCAGTAAACCATTCTGAAGAAACTGGATTTTATTCTGTTGGCAAGACTATAATGAACTGAGCTCCCATTTCAACACCACACTGCCATCTACAAAGTTCCTGCTCAAGAACCATGCAACCGAGTTACAAGAAAAAAAAATCCATCTCAGTGTTGGTATTGGGCCCATTCAAAGCTGCAGTGAGCTCCATGCAGTCAGCAGACTGCAGGATGGACATGCCTTACAAGTAAAGGGCCTTTCCAGGTGTATTTGTGACCATGACTGATACCCACTCAGACTCAGACTTCAGAGCTTCAGTCCATGACACTGTACCATGCTCGTAAATGCCTTGGCAGCCAGAACTGTAAGTAAAAACAGTTTTCTTTAAAACTTGAAAACCAGAAATAAAACATCAGTTCCACTGAGGGAAATTGGAAAGATCTCTAAAGGGAAAGATGTGCATGGGAGAAAGGGGTACAAGGCACCAGGATGAAGCAGGGACTCAAAATGGATGTGTTGGGGGCACTTATAAAGAGGGGGCATCAAGTTCAGGAGTTTACAAAGCAAAATTGACAGGATGTGGCACTTGGTTCAAGAGAAGAGAGAAATACACAGACAGGGTAAAGGAGAATATACTCTCTAGTCTGATCTCTTATGGCCAGCAAAAGCTACCGGCAAGAGAAAAGATTCCTGATCTGAAATAGGGACATAAATCACAGGTCATGTCACAGCCTTAAAACAGAGCCTCTACCATCCACTCCAGGAGAAAGTCTACAATCACAAAAACTACTCAGTTTTTGCCTCCAAGACACCAATGCTTCACGAGGCCAAAGACCAGAGTATGGCTAATGTATCTTCAATAGATTTGCTGACCTCTTCCAAAAATTCAATTTGCCTCCCTTTGCTTTCTGTTTTTAATTAGGTATCTTCTTTGAAAGGCCTAAGTCAGTGCTGTTGCCTTGGTCCAAATATTTATGTAACATCAGGTCTCTGATAGACAGTGCAAGCTAATAGCACAAAGAGTTGGAAAATGTTCCTAGGAGCTAGTTCTTCTAAGATGACACTAAGACTTTAATGGAAGCCGACTTCTGGTGGATTATTTTTCATCTTGGTGGTCCTGGAATCCCACAGTGACATAATATTTCATGATATCTCAGGCAGACAAGGATCTCATAATCAGGGCCTGTAATCCACCTCCCCTGGTGACCTATCTAAAGAGCAAGACCACCCATGAATGCCCATTTCCCACTATGTCCCTCTCCTTTGTCCTCCATGCATCTTGTTTTGTCCACACTGGGCAAGGATAGATCATCTGGAAGTCCATCCATGTGCTCCACAGAGTCTCGTCATAAAAGCAACACACATCATAAAACCAAAGATCGCATTGAAGGGGGGGGGCTTTTGAAAAAGAGACAAAAGAGAGCATTGCTGGATCAGATCCAACTCTGCAGCTCCAAAGGCAAGTTCAGATGTGCAGAGTCAAGACTGGATTCCTTGACTTCAGTTGTACCCACAGCAACCCACTCGTAGCAAGTAAAATGAAGTCTCTACCTTTACAAAGTGCAGTTAAGAGTCCCTATGTGCAGACAGTCTTTTTTCCAATTATGGCACATCCTTACGGATTTTTTTCTCATCCTGGGAATTGGCAGAAATGGAAACAAAGAATCTGAGACAAGGAACGGAAGCAGAGGCCTAAACTGGTAGCTTGGTACCTCCATGCTTCAGCATTTCGGCTCTCATGCTCAAGATCACATGGATAGAGCATGCTACTGTACATCATCACTTTCAAGGATGCTGCATTCGGACTAGCATTTATTAAAATCCATTTGTTTGCTCCTTTCAGGAAATATTTAGCGAGTCAAAAGTTACATCTATACTGTGTGATATAGCTCTGGTTTGTATACACAGGCAGTTACACACACTTGGCTCTCCATGTCCACAAAGCTCCACATGGGAGGATTCTGTCAAATACAAATCAGTAGTGACAGTGTGATTTCATCCATGGGACCCGCATGATAGAGAGAATCAACTCCCAACTCCCAGAGTTGTCATCTGACTTCCATCCACAAATGAGTGCATGTTTGTGTCTACACACACTAAACAAGTAACCATTTTTTTAATTCAGAAAAAAATGCATGTATTGTAATAATATACACAATGCAAGATTATTTAACTTTAAGATCAATATAAATTATATAAATACAAAAATCAATTCAAATATAATCGACTTGAACACATCTCCATTTTCTTTTATACTGGCCCAGTAAATGTCAAGAAATATGTTTAATCATGTAGGATTTGTATTTTATGTCCCACCAGTAACATCTGTTTTCTTAATCATGACAATCTCCTCAAGATTTCAAGACTGAGGAGATGGTTCAACAGGTACAGCACCTGCCTCAACCGCATGAGTACTCAAGTTCAGCTCCCAGGACCCACACAAAAGCCAGGTGAGCACTGCAACCTATCTGAAACCCCAACTGCATGGGAAGCAGACATAGGGGATTCCCTGGGGCAAGCTAGCCACACTATGTGAAACAGTAACCTCGGGGTTCAGCAGGAGATTCTGACTCAATATATAAAGGTGAAACTCCATAGAGGAAGACACTTCACATCAGCACAAATGCACATGCATCTACATACATGTATCACACATATGAACATGCATACACACATGTATAAACATCTGCACCCACATACAAATACATGCAAAAGAAGAAAGAAATGCAGAAAGGAAAGGAAGGAGGGAGAGAGAGAGGGAGGGAGGGAGAGAGTAATCAGATGGCATTTTGATTTGGTTTTTAAGACAAGGTCTCCTATGTAGCCTTCACTGGCCTGAACTTACTGTGTAGACCAAGCTGGCCTTGAATTCATAGAGATCCATCTGCCTCTGTCTCCTGAAGACTGAGATTAAAGGCCTTTCCCAGAAAGTGAATTTTATCATTTAACAGACTATCTTATAATTAAGAAAGTCTGAATTTTGATATATAATTGGGAAATAAGACATAGACTAAGGCCGGGTGTTGGTGGCACACACCTTTAACCCCAGCACTAGGGAGGCAGAGGCAGGCGGATCTCTGTGAGTTCGAGGCCAGCCTGGTCTCCAGAGTGAGTGCCAGGATAGGCTCCAAAGTTACACAGAGAAACTCTGTCTCAAAAAAACAAAACCAAAAAAAAAAATTGTTTGTAATTCAAATAAAAAAAGCAAACAAACAAAAAAACATAGAATAAGAAACTTTAAAAAATGCATGTGCTGAATATGTGCACAGCTTTCTGTTGTCATTGTTCTGGGAATGATAGGGCATAACAACCATGGACACAGCACTTGCATTATATGAAGTGTCACCCATTACCTGAAGACCATTCTAAGCACACAGAAGAGCATGCATGGTCTTTATGCAAATACTACACCATTGCCGAGCACCTGAGGATTTGAGTATCTGTAGGGATCTAGAAACCAAAGGGTGACTGTCATTATACAATGTGTATGTGCACATGTAGATATACAGTAAATCATACATCTACTAAATACAAATATGGATCAACTAGTTTATAAGCCATAAATAGGTAAATTTTTCTGATTCAAAAATTTTGGTTATGTGCAAGTAATTTTGTATGAGGAACCATAGCAACATAAAAATGAGTTATAGAAAAGACTGTCACATATATCACACAGAAGAGATTTAGTGCACTTAATATATGAAGAGGGTTTATTTTTAAGAAGAAAATGAATTATGACAATGTGGGAAATGGACAAGAGTTGGGAACAGACAGTTCATAGAAGAAAACCACAAATGGTACCGAAGTCAGGAAAAAAAATGTTCAACCTTCCTC